CCCTGCTGGCCGTCCGCTCCCGTCCGTCCTCGCCCCGCCACCTCCTGGACCTGGAGATCAGCCAAACGCTCCTCGGCGGCGGCGGCCAAACTAACTCGGCCAGCCCAGCCGCAGAGTTGGCGGCGGTGTGCCGCCGGACCAGGAGGACCACCTGCTGTCTCTCTCCAACTCGTGCCGACTTCGAGAGACGCATCCCCGTTTTCTCATCCTCCTCCTCCACCCCCCCCCCACCCCTCTCCTACTTTTGCGGTTATAGGCCGGCCGGCCGGCCGGAGGGGCCTGGGGGTGCAAATGTGAGTAGAAAGGGAGGGGGGGTAGCGCTCCCCGCCGCTAATGACTGTAGGCCAGCAGACGGCCAGCCAGCTTCATCCTTATGTTTATTTTTCCTTTTGCATTTTCACTTTATTTCTCTTTCTCTTTTCTCTCTCCTCGCTACTCTCTCCGTCTGCTGACTCTCTCGGGCGCACACGTTAATGCGAGCGCGGCGTCAGTGTGTTTGCCTTTGCCGTTTGTATAGAGTTACCTTAGCAGTCCATTACCGGCAAGCAACCAGGAAAAGATAGGTTTGCACATCACACTGCGTTCTAGGAGGCGGAGGAGGAGGTGGAGAAGAAGAAGAAGAAGAAGAAGAAGAAGAAGAAGAAGAAGAAGAAGAAGAAGAAGAAGCGCATGTGCTGTCTGGACTGTATGGCTGGGAGGTACTGATAAGGAGGATGAGATGGGTGAGACGGGTGGGTGAAGTGGGGATGGAGAAGGAGGCGGGGGATGCTAGGCGCCGGAGGGGTTCGAGCTGGGCCAGAAAGCCTCCTCAAGGGTGTCTTCTGACTGTCAAAACAGCTTGCCACTTCACAGTATGAAGTCGCCAAACGGCCAGGGGGTCGGGGAGGAGAAGGCCCTTCTAAGAAGGCTGAGGACCGGCTGCCTGTCAATGAGCTGGAGCTGGGAGGCTGCTCATACTCAAACCCTCAGAGAAGCAACTTGGGCAACAAACCCCCAACCCCTCTCCGCATTGTAGTCGGATCTCCCAATCACAGGGGCCGAGAGTGGTGCGTCCCCGTTCTCTGACGCCATCCCGGCCAGCCCGGCCTACTCGCGCGGTACAACGCAGTAAAGCACCAGCACTCTCTCTAGCACAGAGAAGTCCAACTACCCTCGGGGGAGTTTTCAAAGCCCGCGTCTCCTGCCATCCTACTGCTCAGCATTAAAGCCACGGCGGCCTTCTCGCATTTTCTGCGTCTTTTTCACTTTTCTGTTTTATTTGAAGAGTATCGTTTTGGGGTTAATCTCTCCCAGGCTGTCGTTACGGGCTCGTCAGGGCGATGGCTGGTGGGGCGCGGGGCGGGCGTAGCGGGCAACTCTCTCCAACCCCCTCCCCCTTCTCTCTACTTTCTCACTCCCACCCTTAAGAGGGTGCGGGAGTGGGGCGCCCTAGTTCTCCCCGAGGTTCCTCCTACCTTCATCATCACATTCACCCAGACCAGACTCCACGACTTTATATTTCAACTCTTTTGCAACGTGATATTTTTCGACACTGAAAGGCCCCTCTCTGCTCTTTCAAACGCTGACTCGCCTCGCCTCGGGATTATCATTCTCATTCTTATTTCCATCCGCAGCAGAAGAGGAGGAGCAAAAAAAGTCGACCTCATCGGAACGAGAGACGAGCGGTACGCGGCGCGAAAGCGCAGAAAGCGGTGCGGGTTGCGGCGGGGAATGGTGTGGTGTGGCAGGACAGGGGCGGGGTGGGGTTCGGAGCAGAGTGTCGAGAGGTGCAAGCGTCTCGAGCAGGTCACTGCATCGTATGGTATTCTCGTAAAGCGCCGTATTGGTCCTGCCCGTCCCGCCGCGACATCCGCGTGCCTGTGGCCCCGAGTGGCGGAGCGCGGCGGGGCGTGGCGGGGCGTGGCGAGGCCCCACAAACAAACTGTCTCCTTCCACACGACTGACACCTCCATGTCCAAGGTAATGATGATGTATGGCTCTTCGAAAAGACTTCCCACGCCCCGCCGCGCCGCCGGCCGCCGCACCGCGCGTCCTCCGGGTCCCGGGGAAGGAGGGGGTCGGGTTATTGAGGTGTGCGTCTGTCTCTGTCACAACCGCGCGGCGAGCGGCGGCGAGCGGCGCTGCGAGCCTGGGGAGCGGCGCACAGTGCGAGTGAGACGCGGCGAGGCCGTTGGACCTGCCCCTCCGCAACCCACCCCGCCGCGGCCCGGCACGCCCCACCCCAACCCGCCCGGCCTCGCCCGCGGGCCGCTCGCGGGGCAGATGGCTGTATTGTGAGTGTGGCAGAGGGGACGGGCACGAGCAGCATATGGCGGGGCGACAACGCCGTTCGGAAAATAAAGACTGATGAGATGAAGAGTGTTCGTTAAGGCCATCTTAATATTTTAAATGAAAAGTTGAAAGGCCCAAAGCAGCAGCGCCAAAATCAAATTTGTGAGAAAGGTCAAAAGTACGTTGTGGTGTAGAGTGTGCGTGCGAGTAGGAGACGAGTGTGTGTGCGCGCAGCACGGCGCTAGACTGGGCGTTAATGACCTGGGAGAGAACCGAAGATTGAAAGAGTCACCGCCGGGAGGGGATGCCGGGCGGGGTGGGGGTAATTGCACAGTAACTAGGAGGCGGGGGGACAAAACACAAAGATGATTGCAAAGAAATCTCATTCCAAGTTGAGAGGCAGCGGTGGAGGGGATGATGATGACGACGAGGAGGAAGAAGAGCAGGAGGAGAGGCCCGTGGTCGTCATCCCGCCGGGAGGAGAAGAAACTTGTTCTCCTCGACGAATCAACTGTCTAATTGGCAAAGTTGTATCATCCCTTTAGGGCGGGCGCGTGCCCCGGCGCGTGCGTCTAGATACAATGACCGCCTCCTACATCGGCCACCGTCAGGACCCTCATCACGGGGATCATGGCGGATGGACTCAACAAGGACGCTCCTGCTCCAGAAACTCTCGGCGGCCGAGGCTGCTCCAGGCGAGAGGAGCAATAATACGACCCATTAGATGCTTCCTGATTCCTGCCGATATGGGAGCTCGACAAACTTATTACCTGTTTATGTGGCGCGAACAATAGTATAACAATGTTTTTATCTTAATTTTGACCATCGAGTCACTATTATCAAAGGCAGGAATTTATGCCCAGCCCAAGAATACGACAGTAACGAAGTTGTTGCTGAAATTTTGCGTACATCTTGAACACACAATTACAGAAGAACTTTGTTGAGTGAGTAGTGATTGAGCCTGGCCTGGGTTTGTCCCCTAAAATGCCAATTATGGTCATATCGGATAAGCAACAAAAACAATGGGCGAACTGTGGCGAGATAACATACCACATCTGTGTGGGATAAAGCCTCGAGCATCGTGGCCGCCGCAGACAGTCAGTCTGGGCGATCGGCTGGACACATTCACGTCGGCAACAGAAAGCCAAGGATGTAAAAGTGGCAAAAAACTTAAGCTTTCATTTCGACAGCTGAAGGGAAGAAGAAATATACGCATCTCCTTAAAATTGTGCTGTAGATGATGCAGAGCGCGATGGTGGCCGTTCCGGTGGTGCTGGCGCTGCTCCTCGCCTGGGCCGCAAGCCCGTCCTCGTGCAGCACCGCTGTCGAGAACATCGTGAGTTCCTTCCTCAACGCCACCTTCCTGGCCGACTTCTCCCTCAACAACAGCCTCAGCTCGGTCCGCACTCCGAAGGACGACTTCGCGAAGTTTCAGCAATGCGCTGCACGGCAAGGTGTGGGTACCGACAACATCCAGTTCGCGCAGTTTGCGATCCATGGAGAACAACGGAACGTAGCAAGTGCCAAAGATCAGTCTTATCTATCGTTCTTACCCGCTCTCATCGTGCTTGTTCCAGTGCCAAAAAGGAACCTGCACGTGCCCCGACACCAATTTTAAGTGCAAGGTCCAATGCACGTTAAACTGCATTTGCAATTGTGACGGAATGTCAGGCGACCAGAGCCTCAGCAACGCAGACGCGGTCAACCTGTGCGTCACTCAGAGGCAATGCATGTACGCGTACAACACGTGCAAACTCGGCTGCAAGTTCGATCGGAATTGCGTCATCGAGTGCTTTTTCGCCGGACTCAAATGCGGTTGCGAGTGTAACCAGTTGGGGCTGTCTGGTACGAGTACTGAACGTGACGGCTTTAGCACTGGCCCACCAGCGCCGCCCGGGACCAGCACTGGTCAACCTGCTTCGTCCAGCACGACGCCAAAGCACAGCGGCTCATCCTCTCTGCGGCCCGAGCTAGGGGTCCGCGTCGTACTTGTCGCTTTCGGCATGGTCCTCGCAACGACCGCCAATCTGTGATTTGAAACTAACGACTTGACTTATTGACAGCACTGACGTTAGGGATCGTACCCACACCCCGAAAAATCGTTTCTTGTCTCTAGTAAATTTTCCCTCATTTCAAGTGCACGCTGACACAAGATCAAATTTCCTCTTGAAACAAGCTGATTTTTCTTCCGAATAAGAGAATAATCCTATCGAATCTTATTCCGAAGACACTATTGCCTTTTCTTTATGGTGAATTTCATCTTGTGTCAGCATGCACTTGAATCAAGAAACTATTTTTCTGGGGGCATTCTACGTGACCGACCTGAAGGGGGGGGGGGAGGTGCGTCGGCCGAAGTCACGCACTATTACTACTAAAACGGGATTTTTCGACAGATTTCTCGTGATTCTTTACTTAATTGTTTAATTATAGCATTGACAAAGCTGTGGTTTTAGGATGTTTTGTTTAAAATAATTTATAGTGCACATACTTACAATGCAATATTATTTTTTATCGACTTCTATTGGTGGCACAAATTACACACATAACTGAAAAATTCACTTATTGGTTGGTATGCTTGCTACAAGAATACGCCTTTCGTTTTCCGCGCCAGAAAAAGTCTCTCAAAGACTGCTCAGCTGACGACGATCCAAGTCCGAGGAGGTACCACTTCACACTAAGAAAGATTTCAGTAAACGAAGTGGGAGCGGCCAGCCCGGACTGTACTCGATCATTTCCCGTGCTTATCTGCAAATAGTTGCGGTGAGATACCATAATCACACAGTCAAGCTGCCGCCCAGCACGGTGCGACGGGAAAGAGTACTTCTAAATGTAGCGGCCGGCGGCCGCACCAATCAGAGCACCTGCACAAAACACAGTCTCGCAAAACAGAGAATACTTGTAAGTACACCTTCTGCCCCTTACACGGACCGATAGATGAAACATGTCGTAAATAAATGTACTGGGGTACTGGGTTGAAGTGAACGTTGCAGATGGTGCAATGCGCGATGCTGGCCGGCCCGGTGCTGCTGGTGTTGCTGCCGCTCGCCGTGGCTATGGCCGGCGGCCCGACGTCGCGCCTGCTCTCCCTAGAGGGCGCCGTGAGCCAGCTCCTCAACGCCACACTGGTCCGCGTCTCGCTAAATACCCGCCTTGGCTCGGTCCGAACTGCGACTGACGACTACGACAGGCTGAAGCAGTGCTTTAAAGACCAAAGTGTGAGTATACTTCACTGTATCACATTATTACCCCCCTTGGATTTCCCATACCCAAAAAACAAAGTTCCTCGATAAAGTACAATGTTCTTAATCCTAGTTGTTTTCAAGTACAGATATAATTTGTATCAAGGCATAAGTTCGTGAAAAATCAAGGATGAAGTAGAACAGTGCACTTGTCAGAGCAGTCAGCTGGCCACATTCACGTCAGCACTTGTGTCACTCCTTGTTCGTTTTGAGGGTATGGGTAATCCAAGAGCGTGAATAATACCGCTTTCTCGTAATAGGTGTAAATGTTCCATACGAAATTCCATATCTATTGCTGTGAATCATGTCGCACACATTTACCTACCAGTTGTTTGTCAACACAGTCGTGTGAGCTGTGCAGCTAGAGGGTTTGTAGGCCGCGTCCCCTGCTCTATTCCAACCGCCGGCGCAATGCCCCTTGTTGTAGTGCACCTCCCTGACCTGCGATGACGAGTGCCCCTCCAGCCTCGGTCCGGATTGCAGAGACAAGTGCCGGCTCAACTGCGCGTGCGCCTGTGACGGCCGGCCCGGCAGCAGCGTGGACTTCGTCGACGCGGTCGACAAGTGCATCGCGGGGAGGGCGTGCTCGACCCGGTACAGCGCGTGCAATGCCGGCTGCATCGACGACGATTCCGATTGCCTCTTCTCGTGCTACTTGGAGGAGCTCGAGTGCGTGTGCGAGTGCAACAGCCTGCCCAGTACTACGGTGACCGCGCCGCCCACGACGCTCAACACAATGCCCAGGACGTCCGCGACGCCCGTGACGCCCGCGACGCCCGCGACGCCCGTGACGTCCGAGACGCCCGCGACGCCCGTGACGTCCGAGACGCCCGAGACGCCCGCGACGCCCGCGACTCCCGCGACGCCCGCGAAGCCCGGAACGTCCACGACGCCCAAGAGCACAATCCGTATTCCCACCTGTATTCCCCCCTTCTGGCCCAACGCTTCCCCACCTTTGCGCCCCGCCTTGGTGGTCAACCTCGCGCTGGCGGCACTGAGCATAGTTTTTGCGGCCAGCGTCTCCTGATGCAAACATCAAAAGATGACTCGCAAGTGACTCGCATTTTTTTTTTTTGCGTTTTGAAAGTTGTACGTTATACATGCATTAATATCGCTTAAAGTTATTAACTTCAACGATTCACTTTCCCATACCCCTGCTTGATCCGGTCTGTCTACACTGGTTTGGGGGGGAGGGAGGGGGGGACGTATTAGCTCTTCACGGAGTGGGTGGACCTGAGGTCATAATGCATAAGAGCAGTCGAGATAACCCAGTGCAAAGTGCAATTAAACCCCGCGTCAGGAAATCACAACCATTATTACGGCAAAAGACAAGTCAGGAAAATCAGAAAATATCCCAAACGTCGCCCCCGAACAAGAATAACGGATCTGAAAACCCCACGAGTGAAATAACCGATCTGCATACGCGTAATTTTTCGGTAGACTTTAGACGTTACCCAGCCGTCAACGAATGAAGTTTTTCAATTTCAGCTAACTACATCTTTTTCATGAAGACCTGTAGTGTCCATACACGTGCATATTGTTACTGAAATCAATGATTATATGCGCTGTTAAGAGCTTATAAGTTAACCCAAAATTTAGTGGTTTGCAGATCGGTTATTTCTCTCGTGGGGTTTTCAGATCCGTTATTCTTGTTCGGGGGCGACGAAAACTCCACACATGAACACGAAAATTCCCAGGCATGATTATTTCCGCGTTTATTGTGGCGCGCGGGGTCCTCCTGTACGTGATTAGCGAACGCCTCGCTCGCGCTGACCCACATCCGCATGCAGTCGTTACGCGGCGGGTAACGGCGGTATAACGTGTGTGATTCGCGGCCCTGAGCGTCTGGGGGTG